TGGAGCCCGCATCCGACACGGACCATGAAATCGCGGCAATTAATGAGTCGAAAGCGAAGTATCAAGCGATCACTGCACAAATTAAGACCCCAAGCGGTGGTTACAGGAGCTGATAATTATAGTACGCGTGCGGATGACCGCTACGAACTATGAATACCGTAAAATCTGTGCATGTCTCACACCATCCTACGGTTACCTATGATTAAGGAGTTTCGACAGAATCCGAAACGTCAGGAAAATAAAATTCTTGTTTCTGTGATCGCATCTTCTTCTTACGGACATGACTGACTGTGAGGTCTAGATCATCCTGTAAGCTGAAAATCTTCCTAGGCACGGCTTTTAGCACACCTTGATAGCTTTAAGCGCGTCAACCTGTTTATAGTGAGTAAAATGTGTTGTGGGTCGTCGACCTTACGCTCTATGCTAATTTCCAGGACCTAGCCGCTGACCGAGCCGGTTAATCGTCTGGCACTTGGAATGTGAAACACAGGCATACACTACCAAGAAGGCGGCGGTGTTGGGGTAAGGGCTCAGAAAGCACGCTTTTCGAGATTGCTGGTGGAAAACGCAGGACGTATCGACCAAATATTTTTTAAGAGACTGCATGTTCAACATAAGATACCTCGAGTAAATAATAAATTCCAGCAACATTTGTCCCACGGTAAAGAAAAAGTCACGCTTTCCGCAGATACTTATTTTTGGCTGAAAATGACTTGTGTTTCCTACAAAAATCCTCATGTTAACGCTTGGACCTATCGTAATAGTCCAAATTTATGCTACATGTGTTGCCATTTTTAATAACATGAAAGAAGTTTTTTTAAATAAATTTACAACAAAACGGCAGGAATTTAATCTCTCGCCTTATAGAATGGCGTTTTGCTATCTGAGTTGAGTACAGAACAGAGTACCGACTTCACGCTGTGACATGAAGCTGCGTAAAGTGCTCGCGGCGAGGCCGACAACGGCAACTATGTCAAAAATGACTGCGCCAAATATGTGAAAAGATGAAGAGAGTGGATAGACTCACGGCGTAGTTTAAGACCTTCGCTAGCAGCCGTGATATGTTCTTTCAGATTGGTATCACGATCAGGACTGAAGCCGGAGAAGTAGAGACTCTCATCTTCAATGGCGGGAATCGGATAGCGACCGGTGGCTAGCTCTATTAGCGTCAGACCCAAGCTCCAGACATCACTAGAGGTGTTGTAGGGCTTGCCACTGATCCGCTCAGGAGCCATGTAG